GAGCATATCATATCACGGGGTTTGGATGCACCGGCGAAGTTTGCACCAACTCTCAATGTGACAAAGGGCAATGCACGGCACCGAAGAGGCTAGCAATGATGGAAGGGTGAGAGTGCGTATAATCCATGGACTCAACATTAGTCAAAAAGAACTCACATACTTATTGCAAAAATCTACAAGTCATCAAAAACTAAGCACTACACGCATACTCCTAGGGGGATAGATTGGTAGGAAAAGACCATCGCTCGTCCCTGACCGCCACTCATAAGGAGGACAATCAAAGAACACCTCATGTTTCAAATTTGTTACATAACGTTTACCATACGAGCATGCTACGGGACTTGCAAACTTCAACACAAGCATTTCTCAAATTCACAACTACTCAACTAGCACGACTTTTATATTATTACCTCCATATGTCAAAACAATCATCAAGCATCAAACTTCTCTTAGTATTCAAAATACTCATAAGAATTTTTTTACTAATCTTGAATACCTAGCATATTAGGATTATTTAAGCAAATTACCATGCTATTTAATACTCTCAAAATAATCTAAGTGAATCATGAGAGATCAATAGTTTCTACAAAACAAATCCACCACCGTGCTCTAAAAGATATAAGTGAAGTACTAGAGCAAAACTATATAACTCAAAAGATATAAGTGAAGCACATAGAGTATTCTAACAAATTCCAAATCATGTATGGCTCTCTCAAAAGGTGTGTACAGCAAGGATGATTGTGGTAAACTAAAAAGCAAAGACTCAAAACATACAAGACGCTCCAAGCAAAACACATATCATGTGGTGAATAAAAATATAGCTCCAAGTAAAGTTACCGATATGAGTAGACGAAAGAGGGGATGCCTTCCGGGGCATCCCCAAGCTTTGGCTTTTAGGTGTCCTTAGATTATCTTGGGGGTGCCATGGGCATCCCCAAGCTTAGGCTCTTTCCACTCCTTGTTCCATAATCCATCAAATCTTTACCCAAAACTTGAAAACTTCACAACACAAAACTTAAAGTAGAAAATCTCGTGAGCTCCGTTAGCGAAAGAAAACAAAAGACCACTTCAAGGTACTGTAATGAACTCATTCTTTATTTATATTGGTGTTAAACCTACTGTATTCCAACTTCTCTATGGTTTATAAACTATTTTACTAGCCATAGATTCATCAAAATAAGCAAACAACACACGAAAAACAGAATCTGTCAAAAACAGAACAGTCTGTAGTAATATGTACCTACCGCAAGATCTGGAACCCCAAAAATTCTAAAATAAATTGCTGGACGTGAGGAATTTATCTATTAATCATCTGCAAAAATAATTAACTAAATATCACTTTCCAAATAAAAATGGCAGCAATTCTCGTGAGCGCTAAAGTTTCTGTTTTTTTACAGCAAGATAACAAGACTTTCCCCAAGTCTTCCCAACGGTTCTACTTGGCAGAAACACTAATTAAACACAAAAAACACAACAAACACAGAGGCTAGATAAATTATTTATTACTAAACAGGAGAAAAAAGCAATGAATAAAAATAAAATTGGGTTGCCTCCCAACAAGCGCTATCGTTTAACGCCCCTAGCTAGGCATAAAAAGCAAGGATAGATCTAGGTATTGCCATCTTTGGTAGGTAATTCTTCAATGAGGCATCTACCGTCCTTACGAATTTCTTTCTTTTTATTGATTATCAAACTTTTAGGCACAAGATCGAAAAAATCATTAGCAACAAATGGTTCCTTAATGATAGCAAAAAGATTAGGATGAACACTTATAGATTTGAGATCCGCAGTTTCTTTGCTAGAGGATTCACCTTTATTTTTAGGAACATACATAATCTTGGCAATTTTAGTTGGAGGACTTGGAGTATTCTTTACGGAAGAAAAAGCGGTCCCCAAGTTGGTAATGATGCCCTCAAGTTTATCGATTCTAGTGGAATCATGATTTATTCTTTCATTAACTATAGGTTCCTTCTCTTTAATATTTTTCAAAGTTACTCCTACTTTAGATCCATATTGAGTAATTTGGTTGTGGATCTTTTTATCAAAATTTTCAATTAACTCAACGTTAGCAACTTTATTTTCAATAATTTCAAGTTTTTGCATTACATGCTCCAAAGTTAACATAGTTCCATTAACCAAAAGAGGTGGTGAGACAAACAAATCTATCATAGCATTATAAGAACCAAAAGTATGGCTACCCAAGAAGTTCCCTCTGGTAATGGTATCAAGGATATATCTGTGCCAAGGAGTAGTGCCAACATAAAAATTGTGAAGAAGAACAGAAGTAGATTGCTTCCTGGTAGATCTATTTTGAGCATTGCAAATTCTATACCAAGCGTCTTTTAGATTTTCTCCCTCCCTTTGCTTAAAATTCTATACCAAACTTAGCAAAGATCAATATGAAACGAACTCGTAGGCAATGCATCAGTGATGGATAATTATGTCGGATGTCATTTATCATCGAACGGTTATAACCTAGGGTGACACGAAACTAGCTCCAATTGATCAATATAATGTAGGCATGTATCCCGTATATAGTCATATGTGCTTATGAAAAAGAACTTGCATGACATCTTTTGCCCTACCCTCCCGTGGCAGCGGGGTCCTAGTGGAAACTAAGGGATATTAAGGCCTCCTTTTAATAGAGAACCGAAACAAAGCATTAGCACTTAATGAATACATGAACTCCTCAAACTACGGTAATCACCGAAAAGAAATCCAATTATTGTCACCTTGGGGTATGCGGATCATAACTCGTAATAGGTGTCTACAACTTGCAAGATCGGATCAAGAACACAAATATATTCATGAAAACATAATAGGCTCGGATCTGAAATCATGGCACTCAGGCCCTAATGACAAGCATTAAGCATAGCAAAGTCATAGCAACATCAATCTCAGAACATAGTGGATACTAGGGATCAAACCCTAATAAAACTAACTCGATTACATGATAAATCTCATCCAATCCATCACGGTCCAGCAAGCCTATGATGGAATTACTCACGCACGGCGGTGAACATCATGAAATTGGTGATGGAGGAATGTTGGTGATGATGATGGTGACGGATCCCCCTCTCCGGAGCCCCGAACGGACTCCGGATCAGCCCTTTCGATGAAGAACAGGAGGCAGCGACGGCTCTGTATCATAAAACGCGATGAATCCTTCTCCTTGATTTTTCTCCCCGAATGTGAATATATAGAGTTGGAGTTGAGGTCGGTGGAGGTCTAGGGGACCCACAAGGCAGGCCCCCCCCCCTCTGGTTGATTCTTTCGCCAGTATTTTTTATTTATTCCAAAAATACTCTCCATAAATTTGCAGGTCATTCCGAAAACTTTTATTTCTGCACAAAAATAACACCAAGACAATTTTGCTAAAAACAGCGTCAGTCCGGATTAGTTCCATTCAAATCATGCAAATTAGAGTCCAAAATGAAGGCAAAAGAGTTTGGAAAAGTAGATACGATGGAGACGTATCATGCACCAACTTTCACACAACCAAACATCATCAAATTGTGTGAATGCCGGACCCCTCGGCTTGTAAACTTGTTTCTTCTTTTCAGATTGTGATGTTTGCCCAACTTCAAACACCGAGGAATTGGTATCCTCCATGGTGAATTGCAAAGACTCTTCACCGTGATTTATCATGGCATGCAATATTTGTTCCTACAATATGCATCGCAATTTAGCTATGGTCCTACTAATACGATCGGATGATACATGCAACAAAAGGAACTATGGATGCAAATGTGGAAGGGTCAAAATTTATACCAAGTCTTGGTCGGGCACTCCGTTGAACATGAAGTGGGCATGACCGACACTGGCATTGCCCGAGGATGCCCGATGCACTTCGAGCTCCAGCAAGTCTGTCACCATGTCCTCGTTGGGGACAGCTTGAGAAAAGCTCAAAACCAGGATGCCCTTCCACTGGGAGGGCGTGGCTGAGTCAGGCAACGGCGAAAAAATTCATTGTCTCCATGGCCACGACCAACAGATTGAGGAGCATCGTGTCCCTGTCCTCAGTAGCGCCTTCGCCGCCACCAACATCGCGTCTGCAGCTGCCTTCGCTGCCGCTATCTTCTCCGCAGCCTCATGCTCGTGCTTCCTCTGACGGCGCTCCTTCCAGGCAAGGTTCTCCGCCTTGCAAGGATCCAAAGCCAATCCGGGGAGCCCGACTGATTCCGCCGAGGCATCATCCGTGCCAATGGAGGCGGACACGATCGTTAGGACGACATCAGTGAAGGCGGGCAAGGACAGTTAGCAAGAAGAGGGTGGGTGGCTGCGCGACGGCGGGAGGAATTCGGTCGATGCAGAGAAGTACTCAATTTGGTTCCATTTTGGGATGGATCCGCCTTAACAAAGCCGACATGCGGGTGTTGTTATACCTGCTGATCTAAGCGGCCGACCCCTCAAAAAAAAGATCTAAGCAGTCGACCATGAGCCAGGGATTCTTGAGATCCTGGAAAAGAAATACTGAAGAAACGATTTCGCCACACACCTTAGGTCATGTACAATAGTGCTATATTAGAAGTGCCATATATGATGAATTATGAGGTGGGGGAGAGAGAATTCATAAGCAAAGACTTATCTTCTTTTATTTAAAAGATGATCTTTTAGCACAATACGCCTGATCATGTTTTTAGGAATAACTAGTTATTTTAGATAAGGCTAAGAGGTAATTCATTGTAGACACATTGCTATTGTCATTTTTAAATTACATGTAAGGTTTAAAATAAGACTATGTTTATCAACCGCATGTTAAACACGGCCGTTGGTTGTTACACGTACCATCGATCTCTAGTGCATGGTGCATTTGTGCGTCTGCCAATTATTAAACATTGCCAACGAGCCATGCATGTGGCAGCGGTTGCCGCCAATCTCCTCCTCTTTTTAAGCACGCCCAGCTCAGCTGATACTACCACAGAGCCAGGCTTTCCGTTCCGACCGACCAGCGAGAGACAAGCTGAGTGAGTGCGTAGTTGTCGGGAGCGGCCGCCGGCATGTGGAGGCTGAAGGTCGGGGAGGGCGGCGGGCCGTGGCTGCGGTCCACCAACGGCTTCCTCGGCCGCGCGGTGTGGGAGTTCGACGCCAGCGCCGGCACGCCGGAGGAGCGCGCCGAGGTGGAGAGGGTGCGTCAGGAGTTCACCGACGGCCGGTTCCGGCGCAGAGAGTCCGCCGACCTCCTCATGCGCTTGCAGGTATGCATGCATACTACTGTATTCGTTAAGTGTACAGCGAGTAGCCGATCACTTCTTTGGAGAACGATGGTTATGCTGAATCCTGAATGAAGTATGATGGCCATGCTGTTTACAAAGGGAGTACTCCCTCTATAAACAAATATAAAAGTGTTTAGAATACTACTTTATTGATTTAAACGTTCTAAACGTTTTGATATTTCTTTACGGAGGAAGTATTATATAATTCGTCTACAATGGCTATGCTCTTTTCTGTGAAGTTCTTGCATGGTCGTCCTAGCATAACATTTCTGTACGCCCAGAAGCAGTGGCAGTTACTCTAGTAGTGTACAGGTTTGGGACCCAATTATTTCATTATTTGGACCCACGATTCCAAGGTACGATTTCCATTCATGACTTGAATGTGCCGATCTACCAACCTTGTACCTATCTAGAAAGTTGGGAGTTATTGCCTCATTGGGCCAGCCAACAAGCCTTCTGACACTCCATTTTTCAAGACTGGCATGTTACTTTAGCTTTAATTTGTGTTGCAAGTATACGTGACACCCACAACTCAACAAACTAAATTTAACCTAATATTTGCAGTGTTCAAAAGAGAACAAACATCAAGGGAGGGACCGTCGTCTACCGCCAATGGAGAAGCTCGAGGAGAAAGACGAGGTCACTGAGGACACCGTGCTGGTGTCGCTGAGGCGAGCCCTCGATCAGTTCTCTTCGCTGCAATCGGATGACGGCTGTTGGCCCGGGGACTTCAGCGGGATAATGTTCGTCATGCCTGGTTTGGTATGTAAAATAATTATTATGAGTATTTTATACTCTGGCCAAAATAAAACTGTGTACATACTTCGGAGTGACTATAGACCAGTTAACTTGTTCCTAAAAAGAAGGCCGGTTAACTTAGGAATTCTTATTTCTCAAAAGAAATAGACCAGTTAATTTAGGAACTCTTATTTCTTAATCAACATTGATAGCCTTCCGGTCAAAATAAAATTTGTATGAATCATGTGTTTAAATTACATGGTTGTTGACGGTAACTTGAAAATAGTTACTTCTTAGATATCTAAGAAATAGGGGAAAATATATCGTATTTATACTTTCTACTGAAGATTCTCGCTGATTTTTGTTGCCGTGTGCACTTGCAGATATTTGCTCTCTATGTCACCAGATCACTCAACACTGTGGTGACCGCGGAACATCGACGAGAGATATGCCGCTACATCTACAATCATCAGGCATGGCATCATGCACTTTCATATTGCAATTTTGGCTGTAGAGGCTGGGAGATTTATTCTTCAATTATGCGACTTTTTTTTCTCACACACCCGTCTTTCATATATTTTCTCCCTTTGTCCTTTTGTTTTTTGTAGAACGAAGATGGGGGATGGGGCAGCCTAATTTTAGGGTCGAGCAGCATGTTTGGTACATGCTCAAACTACATCACTCTAAGGCTCCTCGAAGAGGAGCTAGATGGCAACACGGCGTTGGCTAAGGGGCGTGGCTGGATATCGTCCCACGGCAGCGCTACTCTTGTGCCACAGTGGGGGAAGATATGGCTCTCGGTACGTTTGTATATTCATTCATGGATATTACCCCAACACATACATAATCTTGGAGCAATAATATACTTGGTCAGATTAATGTGTCAAGCAATCTACTTGAGTTTGAATTAACTGTTGCAGATACTTGGGATGTATGACTGGTCCGGGAACAACCCGATCTTCCCCGAACTATGGCTTGCACCGCAATTTCTCCCGTTTCATCCAGGTATCGCGTCGCCCGGTTCCATCTTTTGATGCTAGGTTTTTCACGCAGTTTTCCATCATTTGATGCATACTATATAGTCGAAGTATTTTTTTCCAGCACGTACTTGTAGTTGTAGAGGACACACACATACATACTTTTTTTAGGTGTATGGACACATACATATATTTTCTTTTAAAAAAGGAGGATGACCCCGGCCTTTGCATCTGAACGATGCCAGTCCGGCGCACTCCTACCAGGACGGGTATAAGGCCGCCGCAGCCACCTGCCACGAGTCAGAATTTCACTTCCCCGACCTCTGCACCGACTAAGGATGCATACGGCCATTTTAGTATGAGTACCAAAACAAACATGGTCCTCAGAAAAAATTTTAAATGAGTATGACGATATTTTGGGATGAGTGGTTCCATCACATATCAAACTTGATCCATAATAAATGAGGGAAAATCCCTATGCATCACCTGTCAATTTTAGAAATTAAATTCAGGTCGTTAGGCTGCACAACCACATGTTCAACCACTAAGCCAAGGCTCTCTTTGCACACACGTATATAACGTGTGTGCTGTCTATAGTTTGTGTGCCTCAGGAGGAAATCACTGATTAAAGTCATCACATGTTGCGTAGGGAAATTCTGGTGCCTGTGCCGTATGGTCTACCTGCCTATGGCTTATCTCTACGGGAGGAAATTCGTTGGGCCCATTACGCCTACGATCCTGGCGATAAGGGAGGAGATCTACGACGTGCCGTACGACCAGATCGACTGGGGCATGTCACGCAATGCATGCGCCAAGGTTCGTTCAGTTCCTAGACGATCATAACCTTTGCTTGCTTGCTTTTTTGAGAGAATGAAACATAAAACTGGATCAAAGTGGAAGAACAATTGTCTCCACATCAAGATCAAGATCAAGGTTTGTTGATAACCACCATAAAATTCCACCGTGAAAATGAGAACATAAGGTCGATGATATATGGCATATATCGTTCACCACTCTGACTGGCCATGTACGAAAGCTAAGATGAAAGGAATCCGACGAACAAAGCCTCGTGACAACATCATCTTGCGAAACCGGTATTCTAGATAATCAACCACAAGGCACTGTTTTAACTACCTTGCCATCGACAATCAAACCAAGTAATTAAGACCAACATGTAGATGGAGAGGCTAGGACATGATTATATGGGTCGCTACTATTGTCCACGCCAAAATAACCTAGAAATAAACATCGAACCTACCCTTAACTACAATCATAAGTATTGTGATGGTTGATATTATTTTTTACATACTTGGTTAAATTTTGCATTGTTTTAGCTTCAGAGAAAGTTTACACGCCTTCTTTTCAGGAGGCGTGGATGAAGTAAAATAGTTAAAACTCTTTTTTGAAGGGAAAAAAGGAACAACATTTAGGTAGGAATAGCCAGGCCTGGTTTTGCAAAACACTGGGGCCAACTGATAACCCTAGCCTCCTATTATAAATGGTCTGAGCTTTTTTGTTAGGGGACCTCTTATTTGACGCAACCTATTTGACGCAAATAGGAGAGAGCAACTAGGTAACAAGCGCTCTTTCAGGAGCCTTGCAACGATCAACGCCACTTGGCGCGCTCTCAGGCATTCGTCACGTGTCGCGCTCTGGGCGCTCCCTCCAAATTTAATTTAATTTTTATTTTTTGCACGCGTTTTCGGCTTTTTAAACGTTTTTCTTATTATTTTTCGACGTTTTGGTTTTTCACTGGTCTTCCTTAGCTTTTCAATAAAAAAATTGAAAAAAACATTTTGTGCGAAAAACGTGTTTTTTTTTCTTTCATGAGAGTCACGGTCTTGCTTCCGCAAGAGGCACGGTTTTGCTTTCGCAAGAGTCACGGTTGTGCTTCTCGAAAATAAAAAAAAAATGTGTTTTTTGTTTTTTTTCTTTCGCGAGAGTCACGGTTTTGCTTCCGCGGGAGGCACGGCCGTGCCTCTCGGAAACGGAAAAAAAACGCGTTTTTTTTCTTTATTCTTTCGCGAGTCACGGTTTTGCTTCTGCGAGAAGCATGGTTGTGCTTTCGCGAGAGTCACGATTTTGCCTCTGTGAGAAGTATGGTTGTGCTTTCGCGAGAGTCACGGCCGTGCCTCTCGAAAAGGGGGAAAACGCGTTTTCTTTTTTTTCCTTTTGCGAGAGTCACGGTTTTGCTTCCGGAAAAGTCACGGTTGTGATTTCACGAGAGTCACGGTTTTGCTTCCACAAAAGTCACGGTTGTGCTTTCACGAGAGTCACGGTCGTGCCTCCTCGGAAACGAAAAAAACGCTTTTTTCTCTTTTTTTCCGCGAGAGTCATGGTTTTGCTTCCGCGAGAGGTACGGTTGTGATTTCGTGAGAGGCACGGGCGTGCCTCTTTCTGAAAGGGAAAAAACCTATGCTCCCGGTTCGGGTTTTTTCGTTCGGTTTTTTCATGAAAAAAAAGTTCGTCAAAACCTATCAACATGGGATATAGTTTTGAAGATCTCGACGCGAGGAATCCAATGGTGAAAGCGGTTCGAGATTTGGACGCACGGTTTGAGAGATAAAACATTTTGAATAAACGAATCTACGAAAAAAAGGAAAACTCCCAGGTTGCGACAAGTGACGCGCTGCATGTGCAGCACTTGTCGCAACTAGGGGAATTGGAGTGATCTTTACAACGAGTACTTCTTAATTAGTGATTTCGCAAATAGGAGGGTTGCCGCACAGGGGTAGTCTTGGTGGGTTGGCCCATGTATGGACTGTAGTAAACAACTTTATTTTAGTTTGGATTTTTTTTTAAGAGAACATTTTGAATTTGGAACAAAATTTTAAATGTGAACATGTTTTATAAACAAATTTTTTAAAAAATTATTATTTTTAAATACGAATATATTCTAAAAAATTCCAAACATATAGAAAGTGCTATCTTTTTTAGAATTTACGAAGATGTTTTGGAACTGGAATGCCTTTTGAAATTCTGAACAATATTTGAAACATGAATTTCTTTTAAATTTGAAATGATTTTTGAAATTGAAGATTTTTTGGGAAAAATATTTTTTAAAGGAAAAAAATAAAATAAGTAAAAGAAGTACCAGAAAATAGAAAAAAGAACAAACCAATAAAACCGGCCCGGAACATTCTGAAAGGTTCCCAAAACCTAAATAGGCCGGCCCGTTTGGTTGCTCGCTCGTGGCTCCTGTGCGATTCTGTGCCTGTTTGACGCAAAAAACAAAAACAAAAAAGAGCTCTGGCCGCAACTGAGTAAAGCGGCGGCGGCGCCGGCGCAGGCGGAGACGACCGCAGTACGCAGTGGCTCCGAGCAGCCGACGGCACATCACCGGCCTCTTCCTGCGCGCCTTCGCCAGCACCACCACCCTTCTTTCTTTCTCTCTCTCTCTCTCTCTCCGACACCAACATGCAAAAGCAAAATGGAGGCTGATTCTTTCAGGTTGCCGCTCGCCGGAGAAAAAGTTGGGCATAGTTCCTTCTAGGTTTGCTTCGCTCAATCGTGGAATTAGCAGCACACTTTTAATTTGATTATTTTTTCTGCTGCTCGTGGAAACCAACACAGGGGGAGAAAGCACAAAGCACCACCAAACCACGAATTCACTACTCAATTACATGGTGTTTAATCATCTTTTTTCTGCTTAATTTCAGGAGGACCTTGTGTGCCCACGCACAACGCTGCAGAACGCCGTCTGGACCTCACTCTACAAGTGCGTGGAGCCGGTGCTGAGCAGCTGGCCGATCAACAAGCTCAGGGACAGGGCTCTGAAGAACCTCATGGAGCACATCCACTACGAGGACGACAACACGCAGTACCTCTGCATATGCTCCGTCAACAAGGTAATGCGTCGTCTGCTTTATTCTTGAAGCTGCATCTGAATAGACCTAGAGTCACTCAGTACATACGAACCCTCGAATAAATAAGAATTGAGAAGTATGAAATGTGGGCATCATGACCAAAAAAAAAAATATTTGCCTAGACCCTAGACTCAGGGGCTTGATATCAAACTCACTTATTATGTTTTTCTTTGTGATGTTTAGGCTCTGAACATGGTCTGCTGCTGGGCCGAAGATCCAAATTCGGAAGCGTTCAAGCGGCATCTTGCGAGGGTACCTGATTTCCTGTGGATCTCGGAAGATGGCATGAAGGCGCAGGTATGATGACATTTCAGTTTTCATGCACTTGTAGGTACTTTCAAGTCTGTTTCCCTGTTTTTTGTTTACGTCAGGTACTTAAGTCTAGTATAAGAAGAGAATATATTTTCAGCACTTTTAGCCGTGATTGGATGATTTGTGGGTGCACTACTGCTGTCAAACTAATGTTTTCAGCTCGGAAGTGCATGGTTAAATTATGAGTTAATTTTTCATAATAACTTTGATATTTGGTGCATGGTTAAATCATGTAGACCTTTGTTTACAATACAACATGCCTTTCATTGTTTCAGAAAATTGCTATTCTTTTCTGAAGAGAAAGTGAAAGTATGTATAATTTTCTATTATGTCAAGGATAGGTATATGATGGTGTTCAGAGCTGGGAGACATCATTTATTATTCAAGCATATTGCGCTATAGGTCTTGTGAGTGAGTATGGCCCAACTCTCGAGAGAGCCAATGCATTCATGAAAAAATCGCAGGTTCTTTTTTGTTCCTCATAGTTATTTCAATTGATAAAGTTACATAATGTAATCTAAAACAGTGTGCATGTCCATACCTGAAGGTTCTTTGGAATCATCCTGGCGACCAAAGTTATTCACATCGCCACAGATCGAAGGGTTCATGGACTCTTTCAAGTGCAGACAATGGATGGACTGTATCTGACACTACCGCAGAAGCACTTAAGGTCATTTTTCTCCTGTTAATATCAACATGTGAAATTAGTTATTAATCAAGTAGTAAGTGCTATTATATAACCTAATCTTAATAAATGAATTTACATCCAGCAAAGGCATACACTTGTACAGTGTTCCCTTGGTTCAGTTGTCAATCCTCGTTTTTTAGAAAAGAGGTTGGCGCCCGGCTTTAAATTAATGAAACCCTTACAACCAACCAACGGTATCCTGTATTGTTTTTATTTTGTCTATACAAGAAAGTCTTACATTATTTGATTTTCAGGCTGTGATGCTGCTCTCAAAGATCTCTAGGAACATCGTTGGCGATCCAATAGAAAGAGAAAGGGTGCATGATGCTGTTGATTGCCTTTTATCTTTTGTGGTAAGAATTCTCAAAAAAATTAAGCCATGTAACATGATTGTGCAATTTCCAAGCATTCGTTCATATTTCCATGAATATGGATCTGTCCCCCCAAACTTACACTGGGAAAAATGCATCTGAAATGTTTTGCCAACTTTAGTTTATGAATGTGGTGAAGTCAACATTCATACTGTTTGCACAATTTTGCAGCTCCTTTCAGCAGTCAGTCAATAGATTTAGTAATTGATGTCAAATAAAACTATGCATGTTGCCGATGTTTAATTTTTTGCTATTTTTTCGGATTTTTCTAAGCTGTGAAGGTCACCTGGTTAACAGCGAATCATTTTTGGTTGTAGAATAAAGATGGGACCTTTTCCACATATGAATGTAAAAGAACTTCGACTTGGATAGAGGTGAGTTTTTACAGGCTGCTAATTTTTTCTGATTTATTAAATTGAGAGTGAACAATTAATATTTATGAGAACTCGATTGTTGCTTTTTAGATATACAATATGATATCTTCAGTTTACCATATTTTTAACTCATTACTGGTTGATTATATTTTTATTTTTTTTTAGTGTTGAGAGATTTGCATCTCAGGATTAAAATACTTTAGAAATACTCCTATCATTATGAATGTTCAGATCTTAATTATTTATTGACTCCTGTATGTTTTGATAGTCTGATATTTCCAGAATTACCCGAGCGGAACTCATATTCCAAGTTTTTTTAGCCATGCTCTTACATGGTTTTCTGCTTTTGGTAATCCAGATCCTCAATCCTTGCGAGAGTTTTCCAAACATGATTGTCGATCATCCGTAAGTGATACTGTGTTGTTTGGAAAATTCTTCTCCAAGCCCCTTTTTCTTTTAACTTGAGAAACAAACTAATGGTGTATGATAAAACATGGCAGATATCCAGAATGCACTTCCTCGGTGCTTCAAGCTCTTATGCTGTTCAAAGAACTACATTATGGTTACCGTACTAAGGAGATAGAAAAATGTATCAGAGATGCAGCAACATTCATTGAGAGCAGACAAGGAGAAGACGGTTCATGGTTTGTCAGAAGGCCGCATTTCCTGACTTACCTTATAGAAAACTTCACTTCTACTTCAACAATTCATAACGTAATTATTACTTTCGCAGGTTAGGCACTTGGGGTGTGTGTTTCACCTATGGGGCCTTCTTTTCGGTTAAAGCATTAGTTGCTGCTGGAAGAACATACGAGAGCAGTTCTTCCATCAGGAAAGGATGTCACTTCATATTATCAAAGCAGCTCAGTACTGGTGGATGGGGAGAAAGTCACGTATCTAATGAAACAAAGGTAAACATCTAGATACTATTGCTTACGGTTTCTCGTTTATTGGAAGCATTACTTGCCCCTTGCAAATTCTAATATATAAAAAATGCAATATGGTAAAAATCTGCTTCGTTAGCATGCGAACGAAATCAGTTAGCGATATATGGACCTTCTATTCTTAGGACGTTCTCAATCCATTTCATAAGAAACAAGTGCTTCTCCCGTTGTAATTCTATTTAATAAATTTTGGTTTTTTTTTGTTTCAACCTATATTTACTGTGATCTAAAATTAAACAGGTATATGTCAACATTGAAGGTGACCGTGCTCATGCAGTGAATACTGCTTGGGCAATGTTGACCTTAATATATGCCGGACAGGTATGTTTTGTACATTGTTTAATTCAACTGTGAGAGGAATACACTGTTTTATCAAGCTTACATGATTTCCTTACTGAATACCAGATGGAACGAGATCCAGCACCACTTCACCGTGCTGCGAAGGAGTTGATCAATATGCAGATGGATACAGGAGAATTTCCACAGCAAGTAAGTTCCCTTTTCATTTGTGCTTGCAACGTTACTTTTTCATGAATAAACTTAACTGGTACAATTCGGTGTTGGTATACTCCATAAAAGTCCTATTATATCATGTGTTAAGATCAGATTATACATACTGGCTAACCTGACTATGCTTGCGTTTCGATGATAGGAACACGTCGGATGCTTCAACTGCTCCCTTTTCTTCAATTACCCCAACTACCGCAACCTGTTCCCCATCTGGGCTCTCGGGGAGTACCGGCGCCGCCTTTGCTCGAAAAGCACAGGCAGGCGTGCGCCATCGTCGTGCGGAACACGCGTCTGACATGTGTCAGGAACACTTGAGGTCTTTATGTAAACAATTTCATTATTTATAGCTATAAACACATACTGTAATACTATGACACTAGACTGTAATTGTAAAGCTACAAATAAGTTTGATGCCCATAAAAAAAACTCGATGATGTGTCCTTCGAATGCATTTCATACAGTTGACTTCGTTGTGGAAGAAGCATGGATGACATAGTACATCATATATTCAGTTGACATTGTTGTGCAAAAGGCATGTAAGGAAAATTTCGAACAGCCAAAGCCCTGGCTTGAAGGTCTGTTCAAGCGCAAAGACTATGTACCTCCTGTAGTGAGCAATCCCAACCCCAGCCAGACGGAGGAGGGGGACACAAATCTCACAAGTTCTTTTATGTAGCCGTATCTGGCTGAGACTCATTGGACAGGGATGGAACTGGAGAAAAACACGCTGCAACACCACCCTCTCCGTAGGACTATGTTGCCGTGAACAAACGCTAAACACGCAGACCAACTGTTCGACGATCAACACTATGCTCCGGCTCCTTGATGCCACTCCAAGGAAGGAGATCAACATAGAGAAAGCTGAGAAATAATTATTCCTATCACCACCGCTGCTCCAACTTCACCGACGACGAAGACCCTATGAGACACGGACCGGGACATGATCTGAGGTTCCTCAACCTCCCTGCCATCGCATCGGCCGGCGGAGACCAGGGGAACCCATGGCGGTGCCGGCGGCTCAATGGGATGCAAGTCGCCTCCCGATCTCCTCTCTCTAGGAACCCTAAAAAAGGAAATGGTTTCAACTCGTTGTTTTTTAAAAGGAAATATGAACTTTTTTTCTGACAAACACACACACATTTCTTTATGCATTAACATTTTTTCAAATATACATTGAAATTTATATATATATATATATATATGTTAAAAAATGAAATACATGTTATATATATATTTTAATACATCTTGGATATTTTTACACAGTTTTTAAATTTTACATCTTCATTAAATAATTTTTGAAAATATGTGCACAAAAATGTGAATATTTATGTTTTATACTAGATAACTAATTTTTTTATGAATAGACACATATTATTGTATAATTATAATTTTTTACACGTGAACATTTTTAAGGTACACATTGGACATGTTTAAATACCTTATAAAATTATACTAACATTTAAAAATAGTGATTACTTTGTTATAACATAATCATTTTTTCAAATAGGTGAACATAAAAACGAAAATGAAAATAAACTAGAATAAAATAAAGTAAAAGGAAAACAGGAAAAAATAAACGAGCTACCTCTAACTGGGCTGGTCCAGGTTTGTCGCAGTTAGAGAGACGAGATGGTCAGCCCACGCAGCCTCCCCGACGGACCTGGGTCGTATCCTCTGGTGGATAAAAGTCATTCGGGAGTTCTTTCCGTCGACACGAGACAACCCATTCGGCTTCCCCCAGACCCCCACTACTCGCTAGGTCTCCAGCGATGGCATCGGCGCCGCCGCCGCCGCCGCCGCCGCCGCCGCCGCCGCCGGCGAAATGCCCCTCGGCCGTTCCCACCACCATACAAGATCTCGACGACGATCTCCTCCGCGAGGTGTTCATCCGCCTCCCCGCGCTCCCGAGCCTCGTCCGCGCCGCGCTCACCTGCCACGCCTTCCTCCGGGCCGTCCGCTCGTCCCCTGCCTTCCGCCGCCGCTTCCGGGATCTCCACCCGTCTCCCTTCGTCGGCCTCTTCATCCAACGCCTCATCGAAAAATGGGAGCCCGGCGTCCCTTCCTTCGACGCCCGCCACCGCCGCTCCGACCGGGACTTCGCCGCCGCTGTCCGCGGCGGCGATTTCGCCCTCAACGGCCTCCCGAACCCAGACGGCGACAATGAAGACTGCGGCGACCAAGACGAGGACAGCAACGAGGCGGAGGCGGAGGGGGGCAGCGACGAAGAAGTTGAGAACAACGAAGACGAGGAGGACAGCGACGAAGAAGATGAGAAGGAGGAGGAGGAGGAGGAGGATCCCTCTCCGGTGTGGGAGATCGAGCGATGCAGCGACGGCTACGTCGTCCTCTTCAACCGGAGGGCCAGGCAGATCGCCGCCTACAACCCTCTCACGCGGGCGCTGCATCTCTTCCCCTCGCCGCCGGGCATCTTCAAAAGCGCCTTGACCTTTCAGTTCCACATAATCTCCTCCTCCGAAGAGCACCCCGGCTCGCCGCCCCGTGTGGTTTGTTTCTACTGTGGCTACCTTTACGCCTCCGTCGGCGTCATCTCGCCGGGGAGCACCGAGATTGGGTGGCAGATTTTCCCTGAGCCTTTGATTCCAGGAGCAGTGGGAGCCACCGGCAAGATGGTGAACGGATCCCTCTACTGGACACACCCAGGGAGACTCTACATCACCGTGCTCGACACCGCGACGCTGGAATTCTCTAGAATGGAACTGCCGCCGCTCTTGGCGGTGGAAGAAGGCAGTAACCGTGATTGTGATTTTGTGCTTGGTAATACCAAGGATGGGAGGCCCTGCATCGTGTCCCCGGATCCGTGGGGTGGCTGTGAGCTCCTGGTTTTTTTCTGGAGACCCGATGAATACGACGGTGTCGAGAGGTGGAAGCTGGACCAGGAGTTCAAACTCAAAACGATCCGTCGGCTCACTGAGATTGAAGACGATTCTTATGTCGTTGTGCACGTTATGGATGTTACCGATGGAATCGTGTACCTGCGCACTGCCTATGACGGGTATACTGAAGTTCCTCAGCTGCTCCTATCCTTTTGTCTCGAGACAGCGGAGCTGAAAAAGATCTGTGAGTATGATCACAAGCTCCATCCCTACGTCATGGCATGGCCTCCTTCTTTGGTAGGAGTACATGATAAGGTGAGCCCATATATATGCATGTGAAAATGTTGCTGGTATATAGTTTTTTTCTACGTTTGAAACCTGGATTATATGCAATTTTTATTTACTATTTAGTGGATTGTTGTGGGAATCTGCTAACCCACTCATACTGTACATCATTCCCGTTTTGCAATTATGAAGAAATTTAAAATTAGTCATGTCAAGGCAGCCATGGATGAAGTAGTTACAGATATATGTAAATGGTATTCTCTAGGCTTATAACTGCTTTCTTTCAAAAAGTGGAAAACCTTCCACTCTTTCAGCGTTACTATTGTTACGAGCATTCTCGTATACTTCTTTATGTTGGGTTCCATTCTGCTGTCTGCTTACCGCACTGTGTGTCCAACTGTCCATTGGGGCAACATCGGTGGCTTTGCGTGTTTTAATACCGAGTAGAAACAGACTACTTGTTTTGGGATGATCACAATACTTACATAAGCTTTAAATTCTTTAGGGCCCCAATGATCTAGCTCTGTCTACCCCAAGCTCCGAAGGAAGCGATGTGAATGCTGGAGGTGGCCCAACAGAGCCTGCATCGGTCCCAAAGCATAATAGGTAATTAACGTTGTGGACTGAAGGCTGTAAATTTCAGAAGTTGGATGATTTGCATAATGGGATACGGGCGTGCACCTTCATTAGAAATTGTAAATGTTGATTCCATTGACCTGCTAGCTTTCTATAGCCTCTGCATCTCCAAATTTTGAAGAATGCGCCTGAGATGATTTTATAGCCGCCTTACCTTTTCGTGGTGATTCGACGCTGCTAGCATTTCTGCATTTGGATGGTACCCTTTTGGATGCTCGAAAGCCTGCCATTCCTAGCTTTTAAATTCGACTTGTATTTAAACATTGCAGGATCAGATGCTAGACTTGACTCAGATTTCCAATGCACTATATTGATGAATGATGAATGTTTCCACTTCTTTATCTTGTTCTTGTAGGATCACTTAGAGACTCGGTGAGATAGCTGTGGGGTGTTTTGGCGATGCTGGTTGATGATGACTCAAGCAATATGTATGGCGATACCTTGAAGGTTGAAATCCTTATGTCCTACTGGCTGTGGCTATCTTGGGAGCCCGATGTCCTCCTTTTATCTTAATGTGCCTTTTGCGCATGCAGTATTTTGGAATTTCGGATCTACTTTTGAACCTTCTTGGACCTTGGTACTTTAGATGGTTGTAATGGTCAGATTATGAACAGCATGGTAATTCGAAGCTGCGAGCCTTGTTGCTGCTGGACCAGCAGTGCTGGTGTTGTGCATCCTGGATTGCTGGGTTGATATATGTCTAGTCTTGCCTCTGCTTGTTAATTCTTGATGATTTGCTCTGTGGACTATCTTGTCTACGAAGTAGTTATGTTGGTGCTCTGAATTCCTGCTGCTTGATGATGCCTTCTATCTTCTGCCTCATGAGTAAATGGAGATGGCCTTGATCCTGCAACAAGCCAGAGCCAAACCTAAGCCTTGTATTGCGTCCGTTCGCACTACCGAGCTGAGGTAGTCTGTCTCGCCTCGGGTCCACTCTTGGTCAACTCAATTTTCTCTTATGCTGCACATATGAGTGTTGAATGCCTGAATTCAACCATTTTTTACAAGGCAGTTCATAGATATGGTTGTATGATCCCATCTTTTTTTTTCTTTTTGAGAAAATTGTATGATCCCATGTAAGCACGGGAAGGTCCAGAAAACATCCTGGAGACGTTCAAGCAACGGGCTAACGAACAATCAGGCCGGCCCGGTTAAGCACCGAATAGCCGCACTTGGGCCAACCCTTTAGCGCCCTCGCTCGGTCCCTCGCTCGCTTGCTAATGGTTCAGAGTAAAAAAAAAACTGACTCCCTGGATTTTATGGATTCTAAAAAGTTCATGCTTTCAAAAATGTTAGCGGATTTTCAAAGTTCGCGAATTGAATTTGAATAGGTCCATCAATTTGAAAATTTTCATGGATTTGAAAGAGTGCATGAATTTAAGGAAAAAAACATGAATTCTAAAAGAAGGTTCACAAATTCACATGGATTTTTCAAAACAATGAATTATGAAACTAAAAGGATGGATGAGAAATAACAGCAAAGACAAAAACAACAGAAAAAGGAACCGAAACAAAACCAGTAAACCGGAAAGAAAAATAGAAAAGGAAAGAAGAAGAAAAAACAGACACGAAGCTCCCAAACCCGGTTACTAAAGACGCTGGTTTTGGGCCGGTGTGGCAGAAAGTTTGGACTCCCCCTACTCCATTTGAGCCTGGAGTAGCGGATACAGACTGTCCGGGCTTAAATGGAGGAGCCCGTTCAATGGCCTCTTTGGTCTGGACATATGGTGAAGAAGCCCGTTGGATTTGCCTTTAGACTCTAATTATGTGTTTGAATGCTCTTTTAGACTCTAATTATGTGTTTATGCTCTGATACTGAGAATCAATCACAAGCGCAAGTGCTCCGAGCCTCCATGCTTTTTAGCTGGCTTGTTATGCTAGAAGTTATTGCTCTAAAACTAGGTGTAGAATTTTTAATACCACCCCAACAAAATGGTTCTTTAGATTTATGATTAGAAAAAATAAAGATTTTTCCTGGTATGGCATAGATTCTCCACCTTGCATGGTGGTCACCTCTCAGTTTTCCCTAGAAAAAGAGATCGACCCCATACATATTTCACTGATAAATTTAAAGTTGTATTAACTTGCGAATATTGTCTTTGGAGGCTGAGCTCCATGGAGCTCGGTTTTGAAAAAAAAAATCTAATTTTGTCAAAATTCATATTTTCTATGGTTTAAAAAATTCTGAAAAAACACAGATATACATGAAGGCATAACACACATGGTATAAATTTTAAGGGCAAAATACGTTGAAATGAGGGCTATGCAAAAAAGATAAATCTGGGACTTTTTAACACATGATACTAAATTTGTCTTTTTTGTACAGGTCGCATTTCAACGTTTTTCATCCTGAAATTTTACACACATACACATAGCATCCTTCTTTACTTGCACAATTTTTTTTCAGAATTTTTTAAAACCGGAAAGTTTGATTTTTTTTTTTCAAAAAAAGGCCTCCATGAAGGCCGAGAGCCAAACGTCCGTTCTCTATTAACTTGTTACAAGCAATTAGGCTATATCTCATGCAGGGAGATTAGCTTTAATTAAATATGATTTCCCCTCCATTCCAGTTTACTTACATGTCTTGCATCCTCCTCAATAAAATGTTGTATCTATACTCACAAGTATGGTAAACATTTCGTGCACAAAGTATCTAAATTGATAATCCATCTAATCCCATTTGTCTCAAGTCTTGGGATGAAATTGCCTGTCAATAAATAGTCTTGTGACAACTAAAGCAAGCACAGTTTTTATATACATTCTTTACTTCTTAGTGGAAGCAGACGAACGCAGCAACTCATCATGTTTTATTTCAGTTTCTTCGACAAAAGCTCATATTACAGTATAGTATACAAAGAGCACACGCTCACATTACAATGAAAACGCCTAACTTGAATGGACCCAACCAAACAAAATCACATCGATTTCCATGACATGAAGAATATAATTTGTCACATTATTAGCTCGGGAGAAGCCGATTGCAAAGCTCTCCAAAAAATGAGCTGCAACCAGCCTGTGTAACTATTTGACAACTTCAGGACAAGAGGGTAAAGGCGCACTTACCCGTGTTTTATCCAGTGTTGGACAACACTTCCGAGTGATCATCACTAAAATCGTACTGCTCGTAAACCTTGAACAGCATCTCTCTGCAGGGGACAACTGCGCCAATCTTGATGCAGGCCAGGAACGCGCCTGACAGCTTTCTATGGAGGCTGTAAACTTCATCCGGAGGCGGAGTCAGCCTGTACTTCAACATGGTAGCCCCAAGGTTTGAAACGCTGTGTGTGATGTTGTTTGCACGGAAATCATGACCACCAGGAGTTGCGAATGGCACCCCGACGATGAAGGCGGCCTCGACATGAGCATCCAGCATGACCTCTGGTTCCTCACCTGTTAGAAATCCCAGTCTGCGGGACATCTCTAACACGCCAGCTCTGTCTCTATTTGCACAGGCAACTACCTGGCAGAACCACAATTTAGACGGCCATCTTGAATACAGTAAATAACACACAGATTTTGTATTGGATATGAGGATAAGTTTTGATTGCTTACCATACATAGGTAATTGTCTACAAACTTTTTAGGGAACTCACGAGCTGCCCCAAAGTCAATAAGATTAAATTGCTTTTCTGAATCATCATAAAGGAAATTACTCCAATTTGGATCAGTCTGCATAAAAAGAGTCGTGAGATTATAACCTTTTGTTTGCACTATCCAGTTTAACCTCATGGAAGTAGATTGGATGAATGAAATTTAGAACTCTCATCAGCCGCAACATAAATGACGAAATGAATATTGCTAGAATTCTAATGCCAATGCAGTCTATATAACTAGCAAGCTCTAAGTCTACCATGTTTATTATTTAGAGATTAAACAAATGGTATGAGAAGCAACACATGCCTGCATAAATCTGAAGACAAACAACTCCTTTATCGTAAGCTCGAGAAGTTTACATCCAACATAATTGCGGGTTTCCTGGCTTAGTACTGCCACCTTATCGATAGGAACTCCTGTACAAAACCAACATGCAGATGTAGTTGTCAGAAGACCCCGCCATAAGAAAGTGGTTTGCACAGAGAAGAGGGAGCATAAAAAATACACAAGATGTGCTCATGTCCCCACTAAGATATAACGATTAACTTTGAGTCAATCAGAAGTTTACACAGAATATGAGGACTTGTGTTGTTGACACTGAACCAGATAGCAGGAGCGACGTGCATCACAGCAGCACTGGCAGCATGGTTAGAATGCGGTTGAACTTCGCTAGGACTCCATTAGCAGTCCGATTTTATGCTGAGTGTGGGGTTATATCTTTCAGTAGCAGTATTGGACACTAAGAACATAGCATATCTGGTTTGTCAGGACTCCAGTTTATATGCTTGCCGCTATTTAAGAAATGTATGGATCCATATCCACAATAACTTGCAACCACATTGGTTATTCAATACTCAGCTCAGTTCTCCAAGAAAATTTTAGCTCAGGAGCAATAAGAAAGAGCAAAATTTTCACTTGAATGTTAAACCGACTGGACACTTAGCCGACATAGTAATTATTCAAGCATAAATTGCTCAAATTTCCCAAGGACAAATAATGAAGTGGTAGTATTCCTATTACTGGAATGATGTCAAGAGTCTTCCAATATTGAACTATCTATTGAACAAATATGGAACGCCATATAGATATAAAATGCCATATGGTTACTTCAATTTATCGGTATGAAATGCCATATAGATGTGGCTCATGCTCTGAATCAAATGATATTAAAAAAAGCTTTCAGATGTCGGTATTTGGGGTTACTTCAAATTCTTGGTCTGGCAATAGTATATAATGCTTAGCGTTTGCATATAACGACAGTTCTCATTGAATAGGAATCCTTTATCAATTTATGTGACCATATTAAACCAAAATTGGCATGGATTGAAAAGTGTCATCACTATAAAAATTATTACAGATCACAAACTATAACATCATAGACCAAAAATACGCAGAATGAAAAATCAAAAGTACCTGGAACAAACTCCGATGTCAACACCTTTTTGCTCGACAATTCATCAGTCACCTTAGGGACGTAATAGCCCTCACTATCAGAGAGCAACTCTTTGTAACGCTTCTGGTTGCTTGCTTCTAAGAAATAATCACATTCTCTTGCCAGCTCTAGCTTTGCAACCTGTTATAATATGAAAATGGAAGAAATTATGCTCTGTCATCCATGAATTCGCAACAATTTTAGCTCAATATTGGAAACCAAAGTTATTTGGAATTCAGAATACCATTGTTTCGGTTCAGAACTCATAAGATCATGAAACGTGCGGAGAAAGACTATAAATGCAGTAATTTTTTTCATGGCTTCAGTGTTTTCGTATTT